AGCTAATGTTTTGTATTTTTAGTAGAGACGGGGTTTCACCATGTTGATCAGGATGGTCTCGATCTCTTGACCTCGTGATCCACCCGCCTCGGCCTCCCAAAGTGCTGGGATTACAGGCTTGAGCCACCGCGCCCGGCCTAATTTATATCTTTTATTGTAAAATGTATTCTTGTTATAACCAATATGAAATCTCACCAATATGATTTCTTTTATGGAAAGAAAAGTTTGAAGTGTTGTCAAAAGCATTTGTCACATCTTTCTACTTTGCAGAGTTTCTCTCCAGTATGAATTATCTCATGTCTTTTAAGAACTGAGGACTAGTTAAAGGCTTTGCCATATTTTTCACACTTACAGGGTTTCTCTCCAGTGTGGATTTTCTTATGTTTAGTAAGATATGAATACTGGTTAAAGGTTTTGTCACATTCTTCACATCTGTATAGTTTCTCTGCTGTATGAATTCTCCTATGTCTACTAAGGCATGAGGATAGGGTAAAGCCTTTGCCACATTTTTCACATTTGTGGGGTTTCTCTCCAGTATGAATTATTTTATGATTAGTAAGGTGTGATGACCGTTTAAAATCTTTGCCACATTCTTCACATTTGTAGGGTTTCTCTCCAGTATGAATTATTCTATGAAGAGTAAGGTGTGATGACTGTTTAAAATCTTTGCCACATTCTTCACATTTGTAGGGTTTCTCTCCAGTATGAATTATTTTATGAAGAGTAAGGTGTGATGACTGTTTAAAACCTTTGCCACATTCTTCACATTTGTAGGGCTTCTCTCCAGTATGAATTATTTTATGATTAGTAAGGTGTGATGGCTGTTTAAAATCTTTGCCACATTCTTCACATTTGTAGGGTCTCTGTCCAGTATGAATCATCTTATGTCTAGTAAGGTGTGAGGATAGGGTAAAGCCTTTGCCACATTCTGCACATTTGTAGGGTCTCTGTCCTGTATGAATCATCTTATGTTTACTAAGGGTTGAGAATACATTAAAGGCTTCATCACATTCTTCACATTTGTAGGGTTTTTCTCCAGTATGAATTCTCTTATGTATAGTAAGGTGTGAGGGAATGGTAAAGGCTTTGCCACATTCTTCACATTTGTAGGGTTTCTCTCCAGTATGAATTCTCTGATGTATAGTAAGATTTGAGTACTGGTTAAAGGCTTTGTCACATTCTTCACATTTGTAGGGTTTCTCTCCTGTATGAATTCTCCTATGTCTAGTAAGGTATGAGGACAGGGTAAAGCCTTTGCCACATTCTTCACATTTGTAGGGTTTCTCTCCTGTGTGAATTTTCTTATGTCTAGTAAGGTGTGCGTGTCGGTTAAAAGCTCTGCCACATTCTTGACATCCATAGGGTTTCTCTCCAGTGTGAATTCTCTTATGTGTAGTAAGGTGTGAAGGTAGGGTAAACACTTTGCCACATTCTTCGCATTTGTAGGGTTTCTCTCCGGTATGAAATTTCTTATGATTAGTAAGGCTTAAGGACTGTTTAAAAGCTTTGCCACATTCTTCACATTTGTAGGGTTTCTCTCCGGTATGAATTATCTTATGTTTAGTAAGGTGTGAGGACCGGCTAAAAGCTTTGCCACATTCTTCACATTTGTAAAGTTTCTCTCCAGTATGAATTACCTTATGTCTACTAAGAGTTGAGGAATGCTTAAAAGCCTTTCCACAATTTTCACATTTGTAAAATTTCTCTGCAGTATGAACTCTTCTATGTATACTAAGGGTTGAGACCCAGGAAAAGGCTTTGCCACATTCTTCACATTTGTAGGGTTTCTCTCCCGTATGAATTCTCTTATGTTTAGCAAGGTGTGCGTGTCGGTTAAAAGCTCTGCCACATTCTTGACATCTGTAGGGTTTCTCTCCCGTGTGAATTCTCTTATGTGTAATAAGGTATGAAGATAGGGTAAAGGCTTTGCCACATTCTTCGCATTTGTAGGGTTTCTCTCCAGTATGAAATTTCTTATGATTGGTAAGGTTTATGGATTGTTTAAAAGCTTTGCCACATTCTTCACATTTGTAAGGTTTCTCTCCAGTATGAATTATCTTATGTCTACTAAGAGTTGAGGAATGCTTAAAAGTCTTTCCACAATTTTCACATTTGTAAAATTTCTCTGCAGTATGAACTCTTCGGTGTGTACTAAGGGTTGAGACCCAGGAAAAGGCTTTGCCACATTCTTCACATTTGTAGGGTTTCTCTCCAGTATGAATTCTTTTATGATTAGTAAGGTGTGAGTACCAGTTAAAAGCTTTTCCACATTCCTCACACTGGTAAGCATTCTCTCTAATATGAACTTGTTTATGTTGACTTAGGTGTAAAAGCATGCAAAATGATTTGCCACATTTTTTACATTTGAAAGGTTTCTTTCCAGTAGGTCTTGTCTTCTGTCTATTTGAATTTAAGAATTTATGAAAGACTTTCACACGTTTATCACAGTGAAGTACTTTGCTTCTGTTAGTTTTCAAACACTGGTTTAGTTCATTATAACTTTCTTTGTGCACATTAAACTTATTCACTCTTTTACAGCCTTTTCTTAACTGTAAATCCTTATGTCCACATTTTCCATTTTCTCTCAGTATTACTTTTTGAAAAGAATCTTTTATTCCCAGCCTTGGCCAAAGGTCTTGGCCAAAATTAGAACATAGAACTGAAAGAAATAAATATAACAAATTATTTCACTTACTAGGCTCAGATAAATATAGGTTACAATTCTAAGCTGTAATATTATAAAAACTACATAAGATAGTATACAAAAATACAAGAGGCCCTAGTTTTTTCTTTTTTCTTTTTTTTTTTTTGAGACGGAGTTTCACTCATGTTACCCAGGCTGGAGTGCAATGGCGCGATCTCGGCTCACCGCAACCTCCGCCTCCTGGGTTCAGGCAATTCTCCTGCCTCAGCCTCCTGAGTAGCTGGGACTACAGGCATGCGCCACCATGCCCAGCTGATTTTTTGTATTTTTAGTAGAGACGGGGTTTCACCATGTTGACCAGGATGGTCTCGATCTCTTGACCTCGTGATCCACCCGCCTCGGCCTCCCAAAGTGCTGGGATTACAGGCTTGAGCCACAGCGCCCGGCCGATGCCCTAGTTTTTTATAGACATTTATATGTAACAAAAACTAACCAAAATACATCTGAGAAGAAATGATAAATGAGCTAAGTGTTTCAAGTGCCCCAAGTGAGCACTAAAGCCACAAAAAAGGAGGAAATAAAAGGAGGGGAGGAGTTTGTTACATTTACCCAGCACTAGTCTTAATTTTTTTTTTTCTGTTCCCTGCCCCTCCCACCACAGTCCCTTAAGTTTTAAGTAAAAAGTAAAAAATTTTAGACAAGCCGGGCTTGGTGGCTCACACCTGTAATCCAAGCACTTTGGAGGCCAATGTGGGCGGATCACCTGAGGTCAGGAGTTCAAGATCAGCCTGACCAACATGGTGAAATCCCGTCTTTAAAAACAAAACACACGAAAAGAAAATTTTAGACAAGGCACATTTTAAGAACATGTCTGAGAGACTCTGAGAATCTCTGACCCAGACAATTGTTCAAAGTAGGCCAGGAGAAAGCCATATTATAAAGATGCCAAGTGAAAGCCATATTCTAAAGATTCAGACAGGTTAACTTTTTTTAATGTTCAAATTTTGATAAAAGATTACAACGTGAAAATAGGGCAATGTGGTTTCAACAAAAATACAAAATTTTCAGAAAGACTAAAAATTGAAGTATAATTTTTAAAATAAAAAATAAATTTAAATAATAACTAAACTGTGAACACAGAGAAGTATAGAAAATTAGAAAACTGAAAATAACGAAAATATTTAAAATATTAGAAAACCAGGCCAGGCACAGTGGCTGAGGCCTGTAATCCCATCATTTTGGTAGGCCAAGGCAGGCAGATCACGAGATCAGGAGATCGAGACTATCTTGGCCAACATGGTGAAACACTGTCTTTCCAAAAAAACACAAATTAGCTTGGTGTGGTGGCAGGGGCTTATAATTTCAGCTACTTGGGAGGCTAAGATAGGAGAATCGCTTGAACCAGGGAGGCAGAGATTGCAGTGGGCCAAGATTGCACCACTGCACTCCAGCCTGGTGACAGAGCAAGACTTAATTTAAAAAATGAAAGAAGAGGCCGGGCGCGGTGGCTCAAGCCTGTAATCCCAGCACTTTGGGAGGCCGAGGCAGGTGGATCACAAGGTCAAGAGATCGAGACCATCCTGGTCAACATGGTGAAACCCCGTCTCTACTAAAAATACAAAAAATTAGCTGGGCATGGTGGCATGTGCCTGTAATCCCAGCTACTAAGGAGGCTGAGGCAGGAGAATTGCCTGAACCCAGGAGACGGAGGTTGCGGTGAGCCGAGATCGCACCATTGCACTCCAGCCTGGGTAACAAGAGCAAAACTCCATCTCCAAAAAAAAATGAAAGAAGAAAGAAAAACAGAAAAGAGGTAAAAATATAAAAAGGAATAACTGAAAAATCTTATAAAAAATGATGCAAAGAAGCTCAACAAACTAGGATACAGACTAAGATGTTTATATCAAACAGATCTGTAAGCACAATTTTAAAAGTCAGAGAAAAGAGGATCTTAGAAGCTGCAAGATAAAAACAGACATGTGGGCCGGGTGTGGTAGCCCATGCATGTAAACCCGGCACGTTGGGAGAACAAGGCAGGTGGATCACCTGAGGTCAGTAGTTTAACACCAGCCTAACCAACATGAGGAAACTCCATCTCTACTAAAATACAAACTTAGCCAGGAGTGGTAGTGTATCCCTGTAATCCCAGCAACCAAGGCTAAGGCAGGAGAAATGCTTGAACTCGGGAGGCAGAGGTTGCAGTGAGCCAAAATTGTTCCATTGCACACCAGCCTGGGCAACAAGAGCAAAACTCCACTCCACAAAAAATAAAAATAAATAATAAAAATGTACCAATACATAGAAATAAAACAACACACTCAACAGCATGCTCCTGTTCAAAGATGGGAATAATATGTTTTTTGTTTGTTTTTGTTTTTGTTTTGAGACAGAGTCTCACTCTGTCACCAGGTGCTAGGCTGGAGTGCAATGGCACAATCTCAGCTCACTGCAACCTCCGCCTCCTGGGTTTAAGCAATTCTCCTGCCTCAGCCTCCTGAGTAGCTGGGACTACAGGCGCATGCCACCACGCCCAGCTAATTTTTGTATATTTAGTAGAGACGGGGTTTCACCATGTTGGCCAAGATGGTCTCGATCTCTTGACCTCATGATCTGCCCACCTCGGCCTCCCAAAGTGTTGGGATTACAGGCTTGAGCCACTGCGCCCTGCCGGAAATAATATGTTTTAAATGCCCATAATGCTCAATGTAATGTACAGATTTAATAAAATGTTTTTCAAAATTTCTTTCCATTTTTGAGGAAATAGAAATAGCAACCTCAAAAGTACATAGAATCTCAAGAGACAATGAAGTACCCAACAGTCACCCAAAGAAGAAACAATGATAACAGCATTACAGTTTCTGATTTGAAAACACATTACAGGCCAGGCACAGTGGTCCATGCCTGTAATCCCAGCACTTTGGGAGGCTGAGGTGGGCGGATCACCTGAGGTTGGGAGTTCAAGACCAGCCTGGCCAACATGCCGAAACCCTGTCTCTACTAAATTCAAAAAAAAATTAGTTGAGCATAGTGGTGGGCTCCTGTAATCACAGCTATTCGGGAGGCTGAGGCATGAGAATCGCCTGAACCCAGGAGACAGAGGTTGCAGTAAACCAGGATGACACAACTGCACTCCAGCCTGAATGATGGGATGAGACTAAGTCTTAGGAAAAAAAAAAAAAAAAAAAGAGAAAGAAAGAAAGGAAAACACATTACAAAGCTACAGAATTAAAACAATTTGGGGGCAGAGCCCAGTCACTCGTGCCTGTAATCCCAGCACTTTCGGAGGTCAAGGCAGAAGAATCGCTTTGAAGTCAGGAGTTTGAAACCAGCCTGGTCAACATCGTGAAACTCCCTCTCTACTAAATAGACAAAAATTTGCCAAGCGTGGTGGCAGGCGCCTATAATCCCAGCTCCTCAGTTGGCTGAGGCAGGAAAATCGCTTGAGCCCATAAGGCAGAGGTTGCAGTTAGCCACAATCATGCCATTCATTCCACTCCAGCCTGGGTTACAAGAGTAAAACTGTCTCAAAAGTAAAAAAAAAAATGAAAAAAATAAAAATAAAAAAGACATTAAAAAAACACAATTCAGTATGAGTATAATCATTATAACATGAACTAATAAAACAGGCAGCACATATATAAACTATCATGTATATACTAATATGAAGAGTTATTGGCATACCCATAGTTATTGCAGCATTATTATTGAAAGCCAATAGGTAAAAGCTATTCAAAGTTCTGTAACCAAATTATTCAGTAGATATAAATTTGAAATATAAAAATACTGTTTTATCACACAGAATTTTGTAAGCGGGATATATCCCAACTACTATGAAGATAAATTTTGACATTATGCAAAATGAAATGAGTCAGCCACAAAAAGACAGAGATTGCATGCAATATATGAAGCAGTTACACACTTAGAAAAAGAAAACAGAATGGTGGTGTTTGGAAATTTTCAGAAAATCAGAAAAATTGGTTGTAGTTTAATGTGTATTAAGATTCAGCTTTGCAAAATAAAAACACTGTAGAGATATGTTCCATAACATTGTCAATGTATGACAAAACAAAATATTTAAAAAAATTTGATAACAAATTTTGTTATGTGTTTCTGATAAGTAAAAATAATACCTAGGCCGGGCGCGGTGGCTCACGCCTGTAATCCCAGCACTTTGGGAGGCAGAGGCGGGTGGATCACGAGGTCAAGAGATCGAGACCATCCTGGTCAACATGGTGAAACCCCGTCTCTACTAAAAATACAAAAAATTAGCTGGGCATGGTGGCGTGTGCCTGTAATCCCAGCGACTCAGGAGGCTGGGGCAGGAGAATTGCCTGAACCCGGGAGGCGGAGGTTGCGGTGAGCCGAGATCGCACCATTGCACTCCAGCCTGGGTAACAAGAGCGAAACTCCGTCTCAAAAAAAAAAA